ATAGTTGAGGTTCAAAAATATTTTTGATACCACTATTGGTTATTGAAATATTGATTTTTAAGCTTCAAAATTAACCTCGCAAAACTTTCTGGAAAACCTAATATTTTTTCATTTACCCTGTTATCATCAAATAAACGCAACATTTGAAGTAAAAAGAAAAGTATTTCTTTAATATAAAAGTTAATATTATTTTGAATATAACAAACTGATAACAAGTTCACATACAGTTGATTATTTTATTATATATACCAAACATTCAACGTTATTATTTGTACAAAAACTATTATTCATAATTTATTTCATATTCATATTTAAAATTTTTATAATATGATTGAATCAAAGTTGTAGAGACTTCTAGAAAATGTTAAATATTATATTACACATTCGTTCCTATAAATTGGACCAAGTCAAATCTAGTTTTGTAAAAGTGTTTATATACAGTAGTTCTTAACTAGATCATTGATTGGCTGTGTCGCTGACACAGGCCAATTAGAGGACTTTTTTCAAAATCTCATGAATTTTAAGCAATTTTATTGGCTAATTAATAAAATGACCTCATGGTAATCAGGAATGAATAAATAGCCAGGTATTAATACTCTTTGAGTATTAAGTATTTAATCAAAATATGCACTAATTTTAGTGCAAATTAGTTCAATTGGCACTAAATCAAATTAAATCAACTGTAATGAATGAGTTTGATAACAGATATGATAACAAAACACAATAGTATTTAAGACATACTTTATTAATTTTTTCACTATTAATTCAATAACTTTATAAAATTAACAACAAAAGTGATTACTGTATATTAAATAAAGTTTTTTATATAAAATTATATTTTATTTCCTAAAATAATTATATTATTATTTCAAAATGAAGTTTATACATGCTTTACATTTGCAAAAGTGGTTACAAGTAGTCGAAAATTGAATGGACAGGTAGTTGTGGTGACCGGCGGTAACACTGGTATTGGAAAGGAGACGGCATTTCAATTATCATTACGAGAAGCAAAGGTTTTAATTAAATTTTTATTATAGTTGTTATTGTTTTAAGTGTCATAATAATAATTATTATTATTAATTACAAACTCATTCATGATTTATATCTCAGGTATACATCGGATGTCGAGACGTAAAGAAAGGAGAAAATGCTGTCAATTATATTCAATCAATGAATCCAAAGGCAGACATAAAACTATTAAAACTTGATTTGTCTTCACTTCAATCGGTCCGCCATTTCGCCAAAGAGTTGTCTCAATTGGAGTCCAAAGTGGATATTCTTATCAATAACGCCGGTGTTTATGGTTGTCCTGAATGGCAGACCACCGATGGCTTTGAGATGCAAATGGGAACCAATCATTTGGGTATTATTTTAACAAATATCACCTTAATTTTATAATAAGCAGGTAATTCATTTTCAGGTCATTTCTTATTAACACTGCATTTGTTACCACTCCTGAAAAAGTCATCGTCGGCTCGAGTGGTAACAGTGTCGTCGTGTATGCATTTGTTGGGAGACATTAATATCGAGAACATACACCTCAGGAACGGTACTTATGAACCGGTGAAGGCCTACTCCAACAGCAAACTTGCAAATGTCTTATTCAGCCGCGAATTAGCTAAAAGACTCGACAAAACTAATATTAACACGTATAGTCTACATCCCGGTGTCATTCAGACAGACATTCAAAGACACTCTAAATCTGGTGATAAAGCAAATGTGGGAATAGTGGACAGGTATTTCTCACTCACTCCAAGTATGGGATCCCAGACCACACTCTACTGTGCATTGGATGAGAGTTTGGACAATGAGTCCGGTTTTTACTACGAGTGAGTTTTAATAACATACAAATTTTAAGTGCAATATTTTAAATATATAAATAATTATCATTATTAGTAACTGTCGTCGTGTGGATCGTATGGTTGCTGAGGCCAGGGATGACTCGATGGCCCGTCAGCTATGGGATCTGAGTTGCGATTTAGTAAAACTCGAGGATCACCTCAAGATTTAGTCATTCAAAATCAATTTTAAGTTATAATCATCTTGATGATTTTACTTTTGAATTATAATGATTTTTAAAATTGTATCACAGAATATTATTTTTTAAATGTGTCATTTCGTTGAATTATTGAAATTCAAGCAAGCTAAAGCCTTGTATTGTATTTCGAAATTTTTATTTTTACTAAACAAGATTTTCCATAATTTTGCAATACATTTGGTTTTTATTGCGGACAACATTATTTTTAAATTGTTATTTTAATATTTTTCTACTAATTTTCCTTTATACATTTACCCTGTTATCAGAATGATAAAGCAATATCAAAAATAAAAATAGTTTCACTAAAATAACAGCTAAACATTACACAATTTTATGATATATTATATAAATATTGACTTTATTTTTAAGTTAATGATTGAAAAGAAAACATTTAAAATCAGATATATAATATTAATATTTTAAAATTAGATTCAATTAAATGTTATTAACAATTTTGTATACTTTATTATTTCTATGTAGTATATATTTCTATTTAAATTACGGTAATTACGGTAAATTAACTTGAACTGTTTTACTAATATAAAGTTATTTTACTTGTTAGTAAAAAAAGTTATATTAAAACTGAGTAGTCTTATAAATTAAAATCATAGTCTAGTAATGGGCTTGATAACAGGCATACAAACAATTATATATATATATATATATATATATATATATATCTTTATAAAATTTATGTTTTGTCAATTCATTCACAAACTACACAATCATTTTATAAAATTAAACACAAAATACTAGTTAAATATATTGGACAAAAAATATCAAATTTCATTAGTATAATAATTATATTAGCATTTCAAAATGAAATTAATACATGTTTTACGTTTATTAAACATTATATTTTGTGAATTTATCACTAATTTCTTTGGTTGGAGACGTGTTGTTAAAAGTAGTCGAAAACTGAATGGAAAGGTAGTTGTGGTGACCGGTGCTAACACTGGCATCGGAAAGGAGACGGCATTTCAATTAGCATTAAGAGACGCAAAGGTTTTAATTAAATTTTCATATTATTTATAAAAGTTACTATAATAACTAAATAATAAGTTATTTGTATAATAATTATTAACTATAAACCAGTTTTTAATTTATATCTCAGGTATACATCGGATGCCGAGATGTAAAGAAAGGCGAAAATGCTATCAAAGAAATGCTGGCCTTTAATCCAAAGGCAGACATAAAACTATTAAAACTTGATTTGTCTTCACTTCAATCGGTCCGCCATTTCGCCAAAGAGTTGTCTCAATTGGAGTCCAAAGTGGATATCCTTATCAATAACGCAGGGGTTATGGCGTGTCCTGAATGGCAGACTGAGGACGGCTTTGAGATGCAGATCGGGACCAATCATTTGGGTATTTATTTTAAATCGTGAGTAATAGATATAACTCAAAAGTATTCATTTTCAGGTCATTTCTTATTAACACTGCATTTGTTACCACTCCTGAAAAAGTCATCGTCGGCTCGAGTGGTGACCGTATCGTCGATTCTTCACTGTTCGGGTGAAATCAATATCGAGAACATACACCTAAGGAACGGTACCTATGGAGCACTGAAGGCCTATTCAAACAGCAAACTCGCAAATGTCTTATTCAGCCGAGAATTAGCCAAAAGACTGAACACAACCAATATTAACACATATAGTCTACATCCCGGTGTCATTCATACAGATCTTCAGAGGCACAATAAATCAGGTGATAAAACAGACGTTGGATTTATGGAAAGACATTTTTTCTTGACTCCATTCATGGGATCCCAGACCACACTCTACTGTGCATTGGATGAGAGTCTGGACAATGAGTCCGGCTTTTACTACGAGTGAGTCGTTTCAGTGATTTGTTGTAATTTTTATGCAATTATTATCATTAATACTGTAGTAACTGTCGTCGTGTGGATCGTATGGTTACTGAGGCCAGGGATGACTTGATGGCCCGTAAGCTATGGGATCTGAGTTGCGATTTAGTGAAACTCGAGGATCATCTCAAGATTTAGTCATTCAAATCAAATTTTATCTTGATAATTAGAATTTATGTTAACAATGTATTTTAGCATAATATTATTTTTAAAATATAGTTCAAATTATGATTGCACTTATTATAAATGAAGTAAACAAGTAGACTAATATGTTTTGCATAACATAACTACTAAATAAAGTTCTTATATTTAAATGAAATCTATTACAATTTATTAAATTATTTATTACACTTAACAATTATTATTGTACCAATAAATTATTTTGCAATCAGCATAAAAACCTTTTTATAACATTACGATTTTACACCCAGTATAATATTCCGTACATTGTTAGAATCTAGTCACTAGATGTAAATTATAAAATATTTCTACTTTTTAATACTATACTAGTAAAAGTTACAAATGGTTATCACAAATGTAATAAAGATTTACTTTTATTGTAATTGTTGAAAATAAAAGTGAAATTTTGATATAATATTTATAGAATTACCTGTTAGTATATCGCTATGTAATAGTGTGTTTGCACCCAATACGGACTTCCCATACGGGTGCATTAGTGCATTTGTACACAAATGACCTTCAAATTCATCTATAAAAAGGGACGGCATTTGTTATGACACCCCATATGGATATCAGTGATAAAGAAATAATATATAAGTTAATAGAAAAAATTAATTTTTTAGTTAATTTCCATTTGTGAAAATATATTGCAATAAAGTGCGTTAATTACTTACCATTAACCTGTGACCATGGGCAAATACAAACTGATACATGTTTGGCGCTTATTAGGCGCTGTTTGCTATGAGTTCGGCACAAATGCTTTCGGTTGGAGACGTGTCGTTAAAAGTAGTCAAAAACTGGATGGAAAGGTAGTTGTGGTGACCGGTGCTAACACTGGCATCGGAAAGGAAACGGCATACCAACTGACACTGAGGGGAGCAAAGGTTTGTCTAGTTTACAATTTAGCACCTTTTTTGTGTAAAATAGGTTTTTTAATAAAGTTTATAAAATTAATATTTGAATATCAGGTATACATCGGGTGTCGGGATGTGAAGAAGGGAGAGACGGCTGTCAAAGAGATACAATCAATGAATCCAAAGGCAGACATAAAACTATTAAAACTTGATTTGTCTTCACTTCAATCGGTCCGCCATTTCGCCAAAGAGTTGTCTCAATTGGAGTCCAAAGTGGATATCCTTATCAATAACGCAGGGGTTATGGCGTGTCCTGAATGGCAGACTGAGGACGGCTTTGAGATGCAGTTTGGGACCAATCATCTAGGTATTTATCACAATTAACATGAACTTGTGTCATACTCTGCAATTTGCATATAAATAAAATTATAGAATTACAGAATATTCTGTACTATAACTTATGAACAAATTATTTACTGTATTTTGTTTACTACCCTACATTATAGTGACAACTAATTTATTAATAGTCTAAATAAAGTCTTAATTATTTTTCTTAATTTTTAGGTCACTTTTTATTGACATTACATTTAATACCACTGATGTCAAAGGCACCGGGAGCTCGTATAATTACAGTAGGCTCAACTGCCCACAAGTTTGGGACAATAGACATGGCAAACATCAATCTGAAGGGAGAGTACAACCAGAATATAGCCTATTCTCAGAGCAAACTTGCATTACACAACAAGTGGTCTCTTAACCGATTTTCCGATTACTTTTCGGGAAAACTATAGTTACGGATATCGGAATTAGGGCCACGATAGTCCTGTCTGGATGTCTCTGTATGTCCTGTACGTGTCCTTTGTTGGTTTAAGAGGCACTTCTTTCTGAATCCATTCATGGGATCCCAAACTACACTCTACTGTGCATTGGATGAGAGTCTGGACAATGAGTCCGGTTTTTACTACGAGTGAGTTGTCATCAATTTTTTTTGTAAATACATTATTTGGATATTAAAGCGTGTTTTTATTGACAGCAATTGTCGGCGAATTGATTATATGATACCCGAAGCCAATGACGACAAGACCGCCAAAGCTCTCTGGATATTGAGTGAAGACTTTGTCAAACTTGAAGATCATCTCAGGATTTAATTCATAGACATTTTAGAAATTTTTAAAAAATTAAAGATTATTTTATTACAATATTATATTTAAGTCTTATAGTTATGTAATCACTTTTTATTTGCTGATACAATATTAAATTCTATACCATTGTCTACATTATTGTCGAATTGTTATTTTGTTAATTGTAAATATAAATGTTAATTATTTTCATTTTAACATTTATTAATTATTATTGAAATATTCTTCAATAAAGTTATTATAAAAATAATATAATATGTAAATCAAATAAATAAATATAAATTAAGAGTTTATAGCTCTACTGAGTAACGATAATATACGAAATATTAGACTTTCTCTATACAGTATGCATACAATAGTTTTGATTTGTATATAAATAAATTATTTATTATAATTTAATTTTATAAATTAATTACAGAAGTGCAAAGTATGATTCAACTTCATGTTAATTGTAATAATTACCTAGATGATTGGTTCCAAACTGCATCTCAAACCCGTCCTCAGTCTGCCATTCAGGACACGTC